ACTCTTAGTCTGGACAGCTGTTGCATGTACACAAAATTCAGTCAAGCTAGCCTGAGCAGGCTCCATGACCCCTATGAGGCTCCTTCCTGAGGAACATGTGCAGACACATTTTTCCTTTCCCCTAGCAAGCTTATCTAATTTGGACATTGACAGCTCTCTTCATATTCTTGAATCTAATTTAACACTGAATTTTGGGTAAAATATTTTTCAAAATATGCCTGTGACTGTTCCCGGAAAAGAATCCCTCTGTCTCCAGGGTGGTGCAAGGGGAGGAGAAATGTGGTCCAGGACTCACAGTCTGCATAGTAGAGGAAGCCCCCTTGCAGCCCCCTCAGCCCTGTGTGCCCTCCACTCTGCAGTGTGCACTTCCTTTGCTTTCTCTCCTGCTAAAATGAAACTTGACTGCTACAGATCCCTGCTGCTCTCTCTGGACAGAGTTAAGAAGCAGTCGGTGCTGTGACTTGACAGAACTTATTATTCTGGAACCTGGCCCCTGCATGCTCTTTGTCTTGTAAGTTATGTTTAAGTTAATCAGATGATGTGAAACTTAAAAGTCTGGTATTTCCCTTATTCTTTAGGTTCTTCAGGGGATTTTTCTGTGAATGTCCTCTGAGGATTGCTGTGTGGACTTTCCTTAAAGAGGCTCCTCTGTCCTCCCCACCAACATCCCTCACTCCTCTCTCTCTCCTCTCATTTCACTTATTCTTACTCTAAATGAAACTCCTCTCCAAGTTGCCACTTTTTTTAAGATTTATTTTATAGCTACGTGTGTGTGTGTGTGTGTGTGTGTGTGTGTGTTTGTGTGCACTCTTGAGTGCAGTTGTCCATTATGGTCAGAGGATAAGAGATCCCCTGGAGCTGGAGTTACATATTGTTGTGTATGGCCTCATGGGACTGGTGGGAATCAAACTCAGGTGATCTGTAAGTGCACACTTGGAACCACTGAGTCATCTCTCCTGTCCTCTCTCCAGGTTTTATAGAGAAGCCTTTCCTTCTTAAGGGCTCCATCATGTTTGGCCTTTGCCATATATGTACCATTTTCTGTCTAATGTTCTTCCTCAGACCTCTAGGTCCTATCACCATCCCAATACCCTTTTTCCTCATAAATTTCATTCCTGAAGGGAATTGTGGCAGCTCTCCTTTTCCTGACTGACCACTGCTGCTCTCTCTCTCTCTTCATTGTTACATGTAACAGAGGCACAGTGGGTGTTGAGTCCTATAGCAAGAGGATGAACTTGATCTTTAAGGGCCTTGTGGATCCCTGAGATATGTTATACTCTATGGCTAACTCAGCTGTCAAGGTAGGATAAGTATAAGATACCAGTCTACGTCCTCCCACTCCTGTGCCCCCATGCACATGATTCCACTGTACCATAGGAATGGTATCAAGTGAGCAGAGCTCTTAGATGAGATCTTATAAAGCGCTTACTGATTATTAAGGGAAGTTAGATGTTGGGTGTGAGTAAAGCCATGGTGCATGTATAGGTCAAGTTACCTCATAGAGAGAGGAGTGATTTCCCCATGGGAAGTGGGGACCTGGGAAGTTCCTGCATGTGCCCACATCTCTGTAGAAAAGGAGTCATTCTTAAATGGAGTGAGTTGAGCTAGAAAGAAATAGGGGAACCAAAACCACTGCAAAAAAGGGTTCAAACTCTGGGCAGTATTGTTATAGACCCAAGGCTGTTTCATTTTCTCACTACCAGTTTGTTAACTGGGAGGGTGAAAAATCAAATTTACTTCTGGGAGGCCCTCACTGCCTACTCTCAACTTTCTGGCCCACTGGGAAGCATGCTGCAACCCCCTCTCCCCACACTGTCCTTATGATAAAAATTATAGTTTAGGGAATAAAGATATTTACTTGAGCTTGCCAACAAACCTTATGATGTCTAGGAGGGGGTTACTTACAAAAGCATGGATGCCCATGAGATTTTTTCCTACATCTCTACTGAGCTTTCCATATCCGTGCCTGCCAGCTAGCCAGCCCACAGTGGTGAAGCTCCCACTTCCTCCCTGGCTTCTTCCCTGTCTATCCTCAGACCCGCCCCCCTCATGTAATTGAAGCTGACTGATTGGATGGGAGACAATAACTGTCTCCCTCCTTTCCTACGGAGTCTCTTAGGGATTAGACTTCAAACAGTTGCTGGTTCTTTCAGAGGACATACCTACCCAACAGTGGGAATTTGAGGATCTTTCTGAGAATGGTGTGTTCTTTCTAGGGGCAGAATTCAGCACAAGCAGATTCTCAGAGTTGATTGATTTGAGATTGCTTTCAAATGTGTATGTGTTCATCTAAATGCAGATATGATGCCACATGAAGGTCTCATGTGTTTTTAGAGGCCAGAGATTGACGTTGAGTGATGCTCTTTGTCAGTTTCCTTTTTTTTTCATTTAGAAATTTTATTACTATTAATATGCATAGGTATATATCATGTGTGGACAGGCTCACATTTGCCATGAGGCATGTGTGGAGGCCTGAGGACAACTTTGCGGAATCAGTTCTCTCCTTCCACCTTTATGTGGGTTCTGTGGATTGTACTGAGTTTGCAAGGCTTACCAGAAAAGTGCTTTTGCCCACTGAGCCATCTTGATACCCCCCTCCCCTTCTTTATTGAGACAGACTCTCACTGAACAAGGAGTTCACTAATTCCCTTAGACCTAGAGCAGCCCAGCATGCTCTAGGCTTCCTGTAGTCTCAACCTCCTCACCACTGGGTTTAGAGCCATGTGTGCTGTGACCAGCTTTTTACTTCATCCTGGGAATCTAGTTTCTGGTCCTTATAGTTATGTGATAATGATCACCTTACAAGTGAGCCATTTCCTTAACTTCAAATTGTTTTCGTTTTTGTTTTTGCTTTTTTTTTTTATTTTGGTCTTTTTGAGACAGGGTCTCCTTGTAGCTTAAGCTGGCCCAGAAGTAGGTATGTAGATCAGGCTGGCCTCGAACTCACAGAAATCTGCCTGCCTCTGCCTCTCAAGTGCTGGGATTAAAGGTGTGCAGCACCACACCCAGGTGGGTTATTTTTTTCCATTGATTTATTTTTATTTTAAATGTATGAGTGTTATGCCTACGTGTGTATAAGTGCAGTGCCCGAGGAGGACAGAGGAGGCCATTGGATCCCCTGGAACTGGAGTTATGGACCATTATTAGCCACCATGTGGATACTGGTATTTGAACCTGGGTCTTCTGCAATAACAGCCAGTGTTCTTAACCACTGAACCATCTCTCCAGCCCCTCAAATTGAGGTTTTTATTTAGCTGTGCTGAAAGTAAACTACCTGTGGTCTTTGTATTTTGTATTGGAATTGAGTTCATTAGAGGTAAAGATGTTCTTTTTTGTCTTAATAACAGAAGAGTGAAAGTGCCTGATTGAAGGGTCCCCATGGGAACAGCCCTTATGGCTTGTGGCTTTAATACAAAGGGAAGCCTGCCTTATGTGGCCAGCATCTGATCAAACTGCTTTCAGTTGAAGAGTAAGGAGATGGAGGAAGCTGAATTTGTGGTGGTTACATTTGTCCATGAGTGTTTCGGAAGGGTGATAAGTACAACAAGATAGGAATCCATTGGAAATGGTTCTGCGAGGATGGCTGTTAATTGAGACCATGAAAAATAATGTATTTATAGACCAGGTGTGGTGGCACAGGCCCTTAATCCCAGCACTCAGGAGGCAGAGGCAGGAAGATCTCTGTTAATTCAAGTCCAGCCTCATCTACATAGTGAGTTCCAGGCAAGTTGGGGCTAAAGGGAGACACTGTCTCAAAGAAAACCCAAAACCTTATTTTTGTTTTATGTGTATGAATGTTTGCTCTGCGTGTATGTAAGTGCACCATGTGCATGCAATGGCTATGGAAGCCAAAAGTTGACAGCAGATTCCCTGGAACTGGAGTTATGGATGGATGTGAGCCACCATGTGCATGCTGGGAACTGAAACTTGGTCCTCTGAAAGAGCACCATGTGATCTTAACCACTGGCCCATCTCTCTAGCCCTAGAGTCCATTTTCATGGAATGGCTGGGTAGACATCAACAGTTCAATTAGGATGTAAGAGCAGTGAAATCTGCAGTCTGCCATGAGGGTTCAGTTGTGGTGTCTGAAGAGATCATAGACTCCTGGAGAAGGTGGAGATATTATGTTTCAGGCAGGATCAGGAATAACAAGATGTCAAATGGTTAAAAGTGACATGATAATTGGATTTTAGTGTCAGGTAAGGAGTAGTAATCAGAGAGTTAAGTTGCCCAGACCCAGTACAGAGTCCAGTGGTAGTGGCAGCATTATCCCGAGAGCAGGTAAGCAGCCTTTGCAACTGGAGTTGTGCATTGTAATGTTTAGGAAAGTTTAACCTTGGTCCTGGAAGAGTTTCAGAGGTCTCCCTGAACAGATTCCCTGAAGTGGGTGTCAGTGATCTGTAGGACATGGAATGGATAAAAGAAACACCACATAAAATTTAAATTTATATGATAGATCCCAGAAACATGAGAAGATCTTGGATATTCATTAGGATCTGGAGATTTTTGAAGGTGGATTTCACCTGATTCTTATCAGAGAGTAGATGGAGATTTCCAAGAGGATCACAGGAGTAGTGCTCATGAACTTCTGTAGGAGACCAGATCAATCCATGGTGATTGTCAGGGGAATAGGCAAGTTCATTCATGAGACAGGCAAAAGATTGACTGGGAAAGATGGAATCATGAAAACAACAGGAACAGCTTTATTGAAATAAGCAAACATCTCCCTTTTGGAAAAGCAGGGGTCCCTGAGCTGGGAGTCCATTGAACAGGTCCAGAGTCTTATAGGGACATTGGATCCTCTACCTTCCATTCTTGTTATTGTTCTGGCTTGGGTGTCCACCCCCAGTGGGCTCTATTTCCTGCCATGCTCCACCACAATGTCTCCTGGGAACAAGCTGTTGCCATCTTAAGAAACCTGCTCTAACTTTACCTATCTGCCTGTGTCCCTTCTCACTTTCCCTCAGTAGAAATGGATCTTGTAGCATCATTACAATTACAGATTTGAACTTGACCTGATAATTCCAGGTCCAAACAGCTTTGAGTGGTCCCTTTTCTTGTAGGAGGTTTTTATGATTGACCTGATCCTCTGGGTTAATGTGAAGGAATGATCCCAAAAAGCTGAGGTTAGGCTTGGACTTCTGCTTATCCCGGTGGTCATTATGAACCTCACAGTGTATCATAGTGGCAGCACTGAGAAGGAATGATCCCAAAAAGCTGAGGTTAGGCTTGGACTTCTGCTTATCCCAGTGGTCATTATGAACCTCACAGTGTATCATAGTGGCAGCACTGATGATGAGAATGTAAGGAAAGGGTTTATGTATGGTCATAGAGAGCTAAAACTGCAGAAGAGGTGAGTGTCTAGGAGGTCCAGGGACTGTGTCATCCCAGTGGTCTAATCTAATGGATCTTCGTCTGCTTCTCTTAAGGCCTGCTTTCTGATTGACGAGCTGTGTAAACAGCTAGCCATGCTGCCCCACCCAGATGAACTGTATCCCTTCTTACAAGATAAGCCAAAATATCTGATACACTTTTAAGTTTCTTGTCAGGTGTTTGTTGGCAGGAAGGAGAAAAATGCCTACTTCCTGGTACTTTTAATATCCATTTTAATGATGGGCCCTCTAGAAGTAATTTTTGTGTCTTCTTGAATGTACATTTTCAGTTTTACTAATATACATACATATGTACATATATAACATACATTCGTATGTATGTATGTATGTATGTATGTATGTATGTATATGTTTACTAGTCTGGCCTTGAAGTCATGGTGATTCTCCTTCCTTCCTTTCCAGAGTGGACTTAATGCCTGTGCTATAGGAGTTTTGTTCAGAAAGTCCTTTCCTGTGTCTGTAAGTTCTTGTCTAGTCCCTATTTCTACTCTATAATATTCAGGGTATCAGGACTTTCTTTGAAGTCCTTGATCCATTTGGAGTTAGGTTTGTACATGGTGAGAGATGGGGATCTATTTTCATTCTTCTGTATGTAGCAATCCAGTTTGACCAGCACCATTTCTCGAACACGCCATCTTTTCTCCAGTGTGTTTTCGACCCCTTTGTCAAAAATCAAGTTGTTGTTACTATGTGGACTCAAACCTGAGTGCTCACTTCTATTCCATTGGTCAGTGTGTCTGTTTTGATGCTAGTGCCGTCTGTTTTTAATCCTATAGCTCTGTGGTATTGAGATTAGGGATGGTAATCGCTCCAGTACTTCTTTTATTGTTGGAGTTTGTTTAAGTTTTGTTGTGTTTTTTTGTTTGTTTGTTTGTTTTGCTTCTCAATAAAATTTGAGATTATTTTCCTTTTTTTCAACATTTTATTTATTATTTTTATTTTATGTGTATGCATGTATTGCTTGCATGTAAGTAAGTGCACCGGTGTTGTGCAATGCCCATGGAGGACAGAAGAGACTGTTGGATCCCCTGGAACTGGAGCTACGGACAGTTGTTGGCTGCCATGTGGGTGCTTGGATTCGAGCCCAGGTCTTCTGCAAGAACAGTCAGTGTTCTTAACCACTGTGCGAGCTTTCCAGCCCCAAGATTATTTTTTCAATTTCTGTGTTTATATTGGAATTTTTATTGTGATTGCATTGAATCACTAGATTGCTTTTAGGATGGGCTGAAGAAGTGTTTGACCAATTATACCTTTGCACATTTTGTTGTTAGATTTCACCAGAGCACAGAAGGATACACATAGGGGATCAGAGGACATGTCAGAAAAATGGCCAGAAAAAAAAAAAAAATCTAAGAGCCTGGGTTAGGCATTGAATATTTCATACATATTTCTTCTAAAAATTAATATTTTGTCACGAAGGGAGTAGACAGGTTTATAAACCCTAAAAAAGTAAACTTAGGAGACTGGAGGGATGGCTCAGCAGTTCACAACACTTGCTGCTCATCTAGAGAACCAGAGTTCAGTTTCCAGCAGCCGTGTGTGGCACTCACAACTGCTTGTAACTCCAGTTCCAGAGAAACTGACATCCTCTTCTGGCCTCTGAAGGAACGAAATATGCATGATATTCACTCAGAGCCATTCACATACACATAAAGAAAAATAATGTACTTTTTAAAGTAAACATAGGAAGCTCAGTAATCTCTTGAAACAAGGTGCACAGTGCCCCTCACCAACATATAAAGATTAATAAGTAAATACTAACAAATCTTGAAGATTCTGAACCTCTGGCCTTGAAGTTCCCCAGAAGTTGTTCAGGAATCTTTCTAAATGGAGCTTCTGTGGCCATTATACCTGGTAAGGATGGATTTTCAAAGTTACAGCTGTCTTTCTGTCAGCCATGGTCTTGTGAGTAACCCCTCACCCATTCTTCTGTAAGAAACTGCAATAATTTACTAAACTAGACTATAATAGAATCATTTCTATTGAGTGTCATACTCTGGCATGAATAGATGTGGTACCACCTGCCCATGAGAAGATCTGAGGTTCAAATTTATACAAATTTTGAGCCTTCCCCAGGTCAGGGTATTGAGGTGCAAGATCCATCATCATCCCAATTATGTGTAGTGCCAATGAAAAAGTCAGGTGTAGGTGTGACAGATCTCGGAGTTATGTGAATGGAACTTGTCTCAACTCTCTAAGCCATGGCATCCCATTTGGAAGAATGGATTTCTGCCTCCTGAAAGTGAAACCTAGTTTCATTTTGGAACCACCTATTGGATGTCTGGATGGAAAGCTGGACTGATCTGGAGGTGATGTTCACAAAGACACTAGCTTTGCATTGGTCTTGTGGAGAAGTTTTCTGGGGAAGTGAAGGCCTGGCTACCTGATTTTCTCTGATCAGTCTGTATCTGGCATATTGCTGCAGTTCATATTATTAATACTGAAATTGAAGATTTTGACTAGCTTTAAGAATGCTTATTTTATAGGACACCACTGATCATTAGGAATTAGTACATGCACTATGTCATGGATCACTAAGGGTCAGGGTTAAATTTTGATGGTCTGATTTTCTTTGGAGTTTTAAAATATTAGTATTGTGTGTATAATGTGTAAGTACATGAATGTGTGCATGTCACCATTGTCAGGGAACACGCTTTTGTTGTCTGTTCACTCTTTTGATCTTTTTGTGGATTCTAAGAATCAAATTCAGTTTTTTGGGGGGGAGGTATTTTTGAGACAGGGTCTCCCTGTAGCCTGTAGCCCAGCTGACCTGGAACTTGCTATGTAGACCAAGCTGGCCTTGATCTCACTGAGATCGACCTGCCTCTGCCTCCCAAGTGCTGGGATTAAAGGCATGCACCACCACACCTGACATCAAATTCAGATATTTAAGCTTGTGTGGCAAGCACTTTCCCTACTGAGCAATTTACCTGGACTCGGGGATCAGATTTTTGTTTAATTTAATTAATTAATTAATTAATCTATTTTTATTTTATTTTATTTTCATCTTTTTGAGACAGGGTCTCCCTGTAGCCCCAGCTGTCCTGGAACTCACTATGTAGACAAGGCTGGCCTCGAACTGGGACCAGATTGTTAAATGTGCCAATTCATTTTGGCCCTTTGTCTTTACCTTTTTGGGGGGGACGTCCTTGAAATGTGTTAGGCAAACATCACTATGTTTTTCTTCTGCTTTGACAGTTCCTAGGCACTTACTGATCCTTGTCAGTTTTTCATTCAATAAAAAATTATCTGGTTTGGTGATTCATGAATTTTTTTCTAATAGTACAAAATGCAATCATGAATTTTGGTGACCTGCTTCCTGCCCTTCCCCTTTCCGGTCCTTTTTCCTCCCTCTTTTCTTCCTGGGATCGTCGTTTTGTTACATAGCTTAGGCTGATTGAACTTTTGTGCTCATGTAGACATTCTGTGTCATTCTCTGATGCATCTGTGACTGTACATACATGTCAACATTACTGACTACATTAACTTCTTTCTGAAGCACATGTCACCTTTATACTTACTTTATACACATTTGACATTGTTTAATTTGAAAAGTATTGTCTTAGGCTCTTTAAATATTAACCATGGATCTTATTTGTTATTTGATTAAAATTGTGCTTGAGGGGCTGGAAAGTTGGCTCCGTAATTACGAGCACCAGCTGCTGTTGCAGAGGACCTGGGTTTGATTCTCAGCATCCACATGACTGCTAACGATCATTGGTAACTCCAATTCCAGAAAGTCAAATGCTCTCTTCTGAGCTCCAAGAGCATTGCACACACAGTCGCACTTCCATACATGCAGGCAATACATTCATACACATAAAATAAAAATAGTAAGTAAAATATATTTTTAAAAATTGTGCTTGAGTAAACTACTGATAGTGTATATATTATTTCTCCTGTCAGCACATAGAATGGGCTCATTTCCTCCATTAACAAGGTGTGACAGCATGTGTGAATTTTCGCCCACCAAGGAAGCTCACTGCGATCAATGCTTCTTATTCTTTGGGGTCACAGGGCTGATCCTTTAGTTCTCTCTGTGAGTTTTGAACAGGTTAATAGACTTTCTGAATGAGAATCATTCACAATGTACCATAGAGTTTGTATGAATAATTTATGCTAGGTGATTTATCATTTCTGTGCATGCCATCTGTACCAATTTAAAATTTTCTCACACCATCAAATCTTAAACATGTGAGCAGCAATTTCTAAGGACAAGCAGACTCTTGCATGTTAATTTGCTCCTGTTCTGTACATCAGGGTGTCAGACTTTCTTAAGGTAGGAAATAGACATGCGCTGTAGGAAGAGAATTGAGGCAGAGCAACAGCACATCTTGTGCCCTGTGCACAGTAGTGAGAGGAGTGTCCCTCCAGCAGTGTCCTTCAGAACCACTCAAATCTTGCATTAGAACTTCTGTGTCATGGAACAAAATGTGTGGGTAGCACAGAATTGTGTGAACCTATTATCATTTGAATCTATGGAATGTTTAGGATTCTGTCATTTGAGGATGTTGTCACGAACTTCACCCAGGAAGAGTGGGCTTTGCTGGATCCTTCCCAGAAAAATCTCTACAGAGATGCTGGAAGCCTGCAGGAACTTCAGTTTTATAGGTAACAATATCATCTTACCTCCCCTTAGTATACTAAGGAACAAGTGTTTCTTAGAATTGATGCTCCTCTGTGATTTGGAATATTGAAAGAGAAGAATGTGTGTATTTAGGAAACAAATGTGAAGATGAGAATATTAAAGACCATTATAAAAGTTCTGGAAAAAGTCTAAGGTAATTTGGAAAAAGTAGAAGGAAAGTTTCTTTGAAGGAATTTTTTAAAGATTTATGTTTATTATTCATTTGTGTGTGTGCATGCGTGTCTGTCTGTCATCCTGTCTGTCTGTCTTTGCAAACCTGTATGCATGTGCACAAGGAGATCAGAAGATCTTGGACTCATGGAGCAGGAATTACAAGAGGTGTGAGCTACCTGAGTTGGGTGCTGGCAACTAAACTCTGGTCCTGTGGAAGAGCAGCAACTGAGCTTAACAGCTGAGCCATCTCGCCAGTCCCCCATTAAAGATATTTTAATATGGGCTGGAGAGATGGCTCAGAGGTTAAGAAACACTGGTTATTGCAGAAGACCTGGGTTCGAATCCCAACACCCACATGACAGCTAACAACTGTCCCTAACTCCAGTCCCAGGGGATCCAACAGCCTCTTCTGACCTCTGCCGGCATTGCATGACACAGGTGCACTTATTTACCCACATGGAGGCAATACATACATACACATAAAATAAAAATAATAAATAAAACATTTTTAAAAGATATTTTAATATGAACATTTATGAATAAAAAGTAAGCCTAACTTTGTATTGTTTCCAACCATTCAGATATGACAGAAGAGATATACTCTATCTAATTTGGGGAATAGTATGTGACCTACATTTTGTAATAAATTGACTTTTACTAAAATGCTTTTTGTTTTTACAGAAGTTCCTTGTTTGAGACACTCTGTGAGCATACAGAAGATCATCAGGATGGAGAAACTTTCACGTGGATAGCAAACGCCAATATGAGCATGAAAATTTCTAGTGACCTAACACCGTGTGAAAGAAATGTATGTGGGAAGGTTTCCATGTGTCATTCACCCTTTAATAACCATCCTACTTCTCACTCTCAATACTAACTATATGAGCCTGAGGAGTATGGAAACAAGCCACAGAACTCTCTCTCACAAGCTGTCAAAGACATACGAGAACTCACACTGTGAATGGACCTTTGGAATATAAGACATATTTAACTTATTTTGATTTCCAATGTTTCTTGGTAATAGATCAGGAAGCACACAATGCAAAAAAGTTCATCAATACAAAAAATATAGAAAGGCCTCTGTTTGTGGCAGTCCACTTCATACAGCTGGAGGAACACAAACTGTAAGAAAGCATTATCAGTGTAATGTATGTGGGAAACAGCTGAGTTCTTCCACTTCTCTTCGAGGACATGAAAGAATTCACAGTGGCAAAAAACCCTATGAATGTAAACAATGTGGTAAAACCTTTAGATTTCTTAGTTCTTTACATTTACGTGAAAAAAATCATACTAGAGAAAGCAGCTATCAATGTGAACATTAGAAAAGCCTTTGGATGTGACAGTCATCTTCAAAGACATGTAAGAACACATACTGGAGAGAAACCCTATGAATGTAAACAATGTGACTAAAGCCTTCAGAAGTAACAGTCATCTTCGGGGGCTGGAGAGATGGCTCAGCGGTTAAGAACACTGATTGTTTTTGCAGAAGATCTGGGTTCGAATCCCAGCACCCACATGGCAGCTAACAACTGTCCATAACTCCAGTCCCAGGGGATCCCACAGCCTCTTCTGACCTCTAGGCATTGCACAACATGAGTGCACTTACCTACATACAGGCAATACACACATACACATAAAACAAAAATAATAAAATAAAAATTTTAAAAGTCATCTTCACGCCGGACGTGGTGGCGCACACCTTTAAATCCAGCACTCGGGAGGCAGAAGCATGCGGATCTCTGTGAGCTCGAGGCCAGCCTGGTCTCCATAGTGAATCCAGGACAGCTAGGGCTACAGGGAGACCCTGTCTCGAAAAAAAAAAAAAAAAAAAAAAAAAAGTCATCTTCAAAGACATGAAAAAAAACACATGCTGGAGAAGATCCCTTTGCTTGTATACAATGTGGTAAAGCCTTTAGCTGTCACAATGATCTTTTGTTACATGAAAAAAATCATACTGGAGAAAATCCCTGTGAATGTAAACAGTGTGGTAAAGCCTTTACACATCATAGTCCTCTTCAAAGATATGAAAAAATTCATACTGGAGAGAAACCCTACATGTGTAAACAGTGTGGCAAAGTCTTTAGACAGTGCAGTAATTTTCAAAGACATGAAAAACTTCATACTGTCGGGAAGCCTTATGAATGTAAACATTGTAGTAAACCTTTAGAAGTCACAGTTATCTTCCATTACATGAAAAAAAATCATACTAGAGAAAAAACATATGAATATAAACAATGTGGTAAGACTTTTACATTTTCTAGTTCCTTACAGTTTACATGAAAAAAGTCATACTAGAGCAAAACCTTATGTATGTAAGCAGTGTAGTAAAGTCATTAAAAGTAGCAGTCACCTTCAAAGACATGAAATATCATATACTGGGGAGAAACCCTATGCATGTAAACAGTGTGGTAAAGCCTTCAGTTGTCACAGTGAAGCTCAAAGACATGAAACTCTTCATACTGTAATAAAACCCTATGAATGTAAACATTGTGGTAAAGCCTTTAGAAGTCACAGTTACCTTCAGTTACATGAAAAAATTCATACTGGAGAAAAACCATATGAATGTAAACAGTGTGATAAGGCCTTCACATTTTCTAGTTCCTTACAGTTACATGAAAAAAGTCATACTGGTGAGAAACCCTATATACATAAACAATGTAGTAAAGCCTTTAAATGGCACAGTGATCTTCAGTTACATGAAAAAATTCATTCTGGAGAAAACCCTTATGCATGTAAACAATGTGGTAAAGCCTTTAGACAGTGCAGTCATCCTCAAAGACATGAAAAAAACACATACTGGAGAGAAACCTTATGCATGTAAACAGTGTGGTAAAGCCTTCAGATGTCACAGTGATGTTAAAAGACATGAAAAAATTCATACTAAACAAAACCCTGTGAATGTAAACTGTGGAAAAGCCTTTAGAACATCACATTCATAGTTACATGAATTCATATTTTAGTCAAACTATGAATGTTAACTAAACAGTGTGGTAAAGCCTTTAGATGCCACAGTTATCTTCATTTACATGAAAAATTCATACTGGGCCAAAACTCAATAAATGAAAGCTATGTGGTAAATCCTATATATGGTACATTTATCTTAAATTACATGAAAAAATATCATACTAGAGAAAACTCTTGTCAATGAAAGCGATGAGGAAAACCTTTACATTTCATAGTTTTTTACAATTACAAGAGGAAATTCATTGTGGCAAAGAACCCTGTGAATGTGAACAATGCCTATAGTTGTTAAATTTCCTAAATTACATGGCAGAGCAGTTTCACACCACAGTGCTCTTTCAATATCAACTCATGTGAGAAAATTCCTAGAGATGTAAAATCCAAGTGTTGTTAATGCTTTATATAGGAGTTCACTTCAGTTATGGATAAGAACTCACTCTCAAACCTCCAAGAATATAGAGAACGGGGACAAGGATTGAGCTGTCACAGTTCCTAACAGTAACACTGCTGTGCGAGGTATTTCCTGGGGAGACATGAGGAAATGTCTACTCACCCGAGATAGAGAATTAATGACAGAAAAAAATTATATCAAAGTTCACCTAGGTAAACCAATGATTTTATCAGGGTTATTTACAGAAGCATGGATAATCAGAGACATCTGCATCACCAAAAAGCCCATCCAGCCTAAGGATGACTCATGGAAACTGCAATCCTGAGATCTCTGCACAACTGACAGGCAGCTTGGTTAGTTGAAGAATTTCTTCTCACAATTGTTTACTGCCTCTATAACCTTATGGAGTGGCCTTGGGAATGTTGTAAATTTGGTCATTCCAGAACTTATTGTTTAGTTCTTGAGTCTCATGCCTCCCTTTGAGAGGGACTGCATCAATTCCAAGGAAATTTCTCGGCAGCAGTCCACTTTTCTCTCTGTTTCTTACATTTTCTGTAATGCTTTTAGATCCTGGAAGTGGGGGGGGGCTGGATATAAATGTCCATCTGTGGCTAATATTTGCCCACTGTGCCAGAGCAATACTCAACTTTTTCTCTGATCATCATTGGTTCCGAGTCTTTGTGGTACTATCCATTGTGAAAGGAAATTTCCATGATGGATTGCAGCTGACAATAGCAGCAATCTATTAGGCATGAAGAGAAATGTTGAGAAGGGAATTTGAGAGGCATATCACATCCACCTAACACAACAATAACAGTTGCTTCTGTCCTGGGGCTTATAACCTCTCCTCCATGGGTGGTTTTGTTGGGGGGGGGTGGCACAGGGTCTCCCTAACCCCAGTCTTCCTGGGTCTCACTTTGTACATCAGGCTGACCTCAGTCTCACAGAGATATGCCTGTCTCTGACTCTTGAGGGTTGTAGTCTCTCTCTCTCTCTCTCTCTCTCTCTTTGGTCTTTTTGAGACAGGGTCTCCTGTAGCCCCAGCTATCCTGGAACTCACTATGTAAAACAGGCTGGCCTTGCACTCACAGAGATCTGCCTGCCTCTGCCTCCCGAATGCTGGAACTGAAGGCGTGCACTACCACGCCCGGCTATCTTTTTAATAATGTATATGTATATACTTTAAGAAGCTTCTACAGTGGCAGATTTCCATATGGCTTTTTCTAAAGCCTCTAGTGTTAAGTATCCCACCCCATACTCCTTTCTCTGCCCTCCCTCCCATTCCCACCCCATTTTACACTTCCTACTCAATTATTCTCCCCTTTATTCCTCTATGTCACTGCATTCTACCTTCCCTTCCAGGAGGTGTCCTACATTGTCGTTTATTAGGTTTGACCTCTCTGAATTTTCAAATTAAAACATGTGTACCTAAAATTTCAAAGCTAGTTTCGTGTGACATTTTTTTTTCTGGGTCTGGGTTACCTCACTCAAGATGATTATTTCCTGTTCCATCAGTTTACCTGTGAGTTTCATAATTTCACCTTTTTTTCCCCGTGTGTTTTTGAGACAGGGTCTCCCTCTAATCCCAGCTGGTCTGGAGCTCACTATGTAAACCAGGCTGGCCTTGAACTCACAAAGATCTGCCTGGGTCTGCCTCCCAAGTGCTGGGATTAAAGGTGTGTGCCGCCACGCCTGGCCACAATTTCACTTTTTAAAGAACTGAATAATATTGTGTTTATGTACCACATCTTTCTTACCCATTCATCAGTTGATGGATATCTAGGTTGTTTCCAATTCCTGACTCTTATAAAAAGGGCAGCAATGAAAATGGATGAAATGATAGATCAATTTTGAGCTTTTTGAGGAACCTCCACACTGATTTCCATAGTGGCTGCACCAGTTTCCACTCCCACCAGCAGTGGATAAGAGTTCCCCTTTCACCACACCTTGCATGGTGAACATAGATAGACTCTCGTTCTATTAACGTGTGTTTTCTGAGTTTAAAGTATAAGCTTAGAGATGTATAAGTACATAATTACATATAATATTTAACAATGTAATTACTCAAATTCAATAATGCATATGATTCTTGTGTAGATATTTCATGTTAATAGACACTTGAGAGGGTTAGGTATAGTGTCACATATCTTTAATCCCAGCACTCCAGAGGCAGACACAGGTATATCTCTGTGAGATCAAGGCCAGCCTCATCTACATGAATTCCAGATCAGCTGGAGCAACAGGGATACCCTATTTAAGAAAAAAGACACAGAGGCTCTGCTTATTGGGTTATTCATAATTCTTTGGTCCACACCATTTCATATTGCTAAAATCTTTATGATACTGTATTAGTGCACATATAATTTCAAGCAGTAATCACCTTTGTCTTCATAGTACTGTGTGTGTGTGTGTGTGTGTGTGTATGTCTGTGTCTGTGTATGTGTGTGTGTGTGTGTGTGTGTTTATGTATGTATGTGTGTATATGTGTGTCACTCCGGATTTGAAGGTAATTTTGGATTGAGTCTTTACCTTAAGAGCCTGTGTTCTCTATGCAAGTCAATGCCCACAACCCACTGCTGTGTCCTGGCTTTGATGTTTGTCATTGAAGAGATCAAAAGGAACCCCTATCTTTAACTCACCTCTGGAGTATGACTTCCATGCTTCTCACCGCAGTAAACTGCAGGTGTTGGAGAACACCCTCATTTCACTCACAGGACAAGATCCTTAATTACAACTGTAGGAGAGAAAGCAAGGCCATCGCAGTACTCACAGGGACATTGTGGGCAACTGAGGCCTAGATTGGAACTCTTCTGGAACTCTATAAATGTCCAAAGGTGAAGAAGGGTAGGAAGGGTAGATATGAATCCATGTCTGTTTGGTGATTTTTTTTTAATTGGTGAATCTCTCCCCCCGTATTTCTTGATTCATGTGAATTTGGGTGGTCCAAACGTCAATAAAAATATTTTGGAACTGTTGAATCAAATGAGTTCTTTGAATGTTTGATGTAAAGCCATGACAGAAGGTGACTGCTATAGCTGTGATTCTAGCTACAATTTTTGCAATAATCCATCAAACCTTTGGTACAGTGCTGAAGATGTTGAATAATCTTCTGCATATGTGCTAAAGTAGGCAGTTCTTGCCAAGGCTCATCCTGTTCCACAGGTATCCATTCAGCAACAGATCTTTTTAGAATCAAGCATTTCACATCATTCCTTTCCCAATGAGAGCGATTAATATATTGTTGTAATTACAATTTGTACAAGTGATGCGAACATAAATGTTGACTAATCATAATTTTCAGATAGAGGCCTGCCATGGGCCAAAACCCATACCTAATATCAGTGGGCTGAGCCCCACTTTGGCCCATTGCTGTGTATAACAGTAAGACATGAATGATTATATAAAGCAGTGGAACTTCCCCATAGTAAGGCACTGTTTTTCACCATCTGTCAATTCCGCATGAGGCATGAGGGCCCCCCAATAACTTCTTCACTAGCAGTCATTTTGTTTCTGAGATGGGAAGTGTCCCAGTTTGACCATTTTAGTCAAGAGTCCCATTGCTTGTGATGTCCATGGTGGTGGGGGAAGGGGCACTTTTAGGAACATATGTGACATTTGTTTTGGTTCCTGACTCAGAACTCCATCCTGTTATAAATCGTAGTGTTTATTATATTTCTTAGGTCCACAAATTAGCCATGTTTGTAAGCCAGGTTTGTAGCAAAATGCAGAATTAGATGCAACACACAAAGGAGGACATGCTAATAGTGCAGTAAAGTCATAATCAAATTGTCCATCTGGTCCTTCAGCTAGCAGAGGACCTGAAAAAGTGCAATATCATTTACATACACTAATAGGGGTGGATCAAAGCAGGTGACAGGCTGTGCCAGGGTCAGTTGTGGTATATGGACCCAGAATTGTGTGTGTATGTGTGTCATTCTTAACCAGTTACTAGTTATTGACACCATCATAAAGATGTTTGTCAAAGAAGAAAGCTGTCCCAGGGATCAAAATTAATGAGCAGCTTTATCTGGTCTTCTTCACCTATCCCCAAGTCATTGGAGAGGCACACTGTATGCTTGGTAGGCCGACTCTGCACTGACTGGCCTGCTGAATTCATCTGTACTCTTCTCAGTGTTTTGTCCACTGACATCCTCCACTGAGAGGTCTGATATTCTTTCCTGGAATCCAAACAAAAGAGCCTTTATCTGATTTGTCGACATAAGTATAACCTCTCCCCCAAGTTTCTAATCATTTGGCCCACACCATTGTCTGCTTTCAGGATCCTTCCACAAGAAAAACCATTAAAAGCTTTCATGCTGAACCATTATCAGTTTTAATTTGTGTTGGCATACCCATTATAGCAAAAGTTTCTATACAATGTGAATGTACGTGACAAAAACTTCCCCAGTTAGAACATGTATCTGTGGTGACATGTACATAAGACAGGCTGTCAAAAGAAGGAATATACATTTGCCAGATGGATTGACTATAAGGCCTCTAGGATTAACACTCTGAGAAGCAGCAGATGGGGTTAATTGAGAACAGTCAAGACAGGATCATATAATATGAAGGAAAGATGAGGGAAAA